CTGCCCATTGGGCGCAGCGCGCCGCGCCCGCCACCGCCAGCCAATGGGACAAGCTGGAACGCGAAGATACCAAGTGTTGTAGCAGAGCTCGGAGTGGAGCCACGCAAGTGGTCGCAGCTGGCGGGAAGCGGGGGGGGGGGGTGGGCTTGGCCCCCTGCGGGTGGCGGCGTGTGGCGCCCGGCTAGATTGCCAGTTCCGATCCGGAGCCTGTAGTAGGGGTTGGATCTAGATGAGCACTTCTCAACCCAAGAGTATATGAGAGAGTGGGGAAGAAACGTTATAAATAGATTCTCCTTTGCAGGAGAAAAACGTGGCAAACCGCAGCTTTTGCCTTGCGGGCTGACCGAGTTCCAGCTCCACACACAGCCACCCCCTGCCCCACATGCTCGAGGCAGCAAGGCGGGAGGGAGGGGCTCAGATTAGGATCTGGCCATTGATGTTAATGGGTACAAAAAAGGTTGATAACCACTGATCTAGGTGCCCTTCCAGCCCTTGCTTGCTGTGACAGCTTGGGAGATGGGTTTAAATACAGGGGAGTTCTAAACAGGGTAAAGACTAAGATCTTGCTGGTTTCCTACAGCAGCAGGAGGGGGCACGTTTTCTGGGGTCCCCCCCACCTTGGCAGCTGCAAGTGCTGGAATTGTAATGCCTTTTTTTTTTAAATGGTGAAAGCTCAGAATCTCACATCACCAAATGATTTCAGGGTTTGAAGCTTGAAGGTAACTCGCAAATGCAAGTCAAGACCGTCCAGCTGGCAGCCTGCAAGGGTTCATCTGTGGGCCCTGGGGCCCCACCTGCCAGCTGCTCCCTGGGGTCTCTAGGCCAACCCCTCCCTCCTCCAGTTTCCACTTCCTGCCCCTTCCCGGGGGGTGGGGCAATGCAGAAATGCACAGCCAGCAGTGCCCATGCTGCACACTGCAGGGGAGAGTCCATGGTCCCGGAGCTGAGTGTCACACCAAGGTGCCCAAATGTGGTGGAGCAAGGAGCAGAGAGCCCACAACTTGTTCTAATGCAGCCTGTGTGCCCTCCCCCCCAACCTCCCGAGCACGGCCCATTTGGAAGCTGGGACACCCGTTGCAAGTGTCACAGTAAAATCACAAGAAATGGCAATATCGCATACCTCCACTTACCATTCACAGCAGGGCTTTATCCTATTCTGAGTCCATCAGGGATCTATCCATTGGATACCCCCCAGCCAGCAGCAACTGTCCCAGCCTATCCTTCCCCTGTGTGAGAATCTAGCCCCTTATACACCTTCTACGCACCAGAAATAACAGCCTGTACCCTACCCTGCTCTCACCAGAGACTCAGCCTTCAATACATCCCCACACACCAGTGGCAAGTGCCTATGTATAGTCCGCATCCAGCAGCCTGCACCACACCCCACATCCAGTTCTACATCTTGTGTCAACCAATGGCACCTTGCAGTGAAATCTCTCTGTCCTCCCCAGCAGTATAACATCACCACCTGGCAACAAGGAGCAGCACAGTTATGTACAATATAGCTCATTTACAAGCAGCACATTATAAAGTCCTTGTCCCATCCCTCCCCAAGAAATACATATTGCAATATATACTATTAACATTATTTATATTTGCATTTCATATTTTTATTTATCATCTATATTACTATAGCATGTGGGAGCAAAGGACTGGAAACAGAGAACAAGGCAGCAATGTCTGATCTGGAGAGCTTGCAACCCAGGCAAAAGGTAGACAGATAAACCGGGTCAGCTGGACAGGCAGTGGTAGCAGCACACCAGCTACCTAATTACTGATGAGTGTTTAGTAGGTCACAGCTAAGGAAAGGATTGGGGCAGGGGAAAGGGGAGGTGCAGAAATAGGATAATGCATTGGCTTTGCAGATATTTATGGGGAGCCCCTCACATAAGGGACAGCCCGGGAGAAGCCATGAAGGCATTTGATTGAAAATGTATACATGGAATGATAGAGGCAGCTTTATCAGCAGATCAAAGGCAGGAGTTGATATCTCAATTGCAAAGGAACGATATCAAAACCTAATGATCTTTCATCAGTCATGAACAACCTTGGCAATGCTGACCAGAAGTTCATGTTAACATTATAAACAAGGCAGACCCTGGGGAAGAGGCAACATAGTCAAAGCAGCAGGTGAGAAGGATGATCTCTGCAACAGCATTCTGACATGATAGAAGTGAAGCAAGATTGCACTGGAAATGATAGTTACTGCAATCCAGACAAAATGATGAGTCTGTGGGTGAGAATTTTAGCCACCTGGAAAGGCCTTATTTTAAAGATGGTGTGTGTGTGTGTGTTTTGGGAGAGGTGAGGAATAGCACAGGTTTAACAGAACCTGATTGCAAGGGTCACAAGAGAGGACACAATCAAAACTGATATCCCAGTTATGGGTCTAAGTGACAAGGTGGGCAATGGTATTGTCCACAATGACTGAGAAAGAAGGGAAAGGGGTGTTTTGGATGCATTGAGCTGATCTCCTCATGGATATCTAGCAGTCAGTGTATCAGAAAGACTGAAGTTTCAGGCTACACAGAAGGAGAGAAGTAGATCTATTGAGTGGCCAGCACAGCATCACAATACAATATGTTATAGATACAGTAGTTGCACAAGGAACTTAAGATAATCACTGCCAAACACTACGACGTATTTCAATGGCTTTCATAGCCTATCCAAATTGCACAGAGTATAAGCTTTATTTTTTCTTACCAAAAAGTAAGTTTCTAGCTTTCATAATACAAAGAACAGACTAATCGAAATATGGCCTGAGTGTAAACTGAAATATTTTTCATTTAGGAGTGCAAATCATGACAATGGAAAATGACGACTAAACAGTCTTTGTTTTACAGAGACCACATTGACTCCTTGTTCTGTATGTGTCAGAAAACAAAATCTAGTATCCCAAGCTACAAACAGATGTTTTAAAGTGTCAGAGGCTGTAAAAATAGCACCTTCCTGCCTTACTAAAAAAAAGGAAATATGCAGAGATGATGAGTGATCCAAAGAAATAATATTTTGAAGAAGAAAGGGAACAGTTCATTCAGAGCTCTGACTGAAACTAGCCTAAAGCTTGCATAAGATCATTTGCTGTGCTGTGCTTTCCAATTTGCCCTGAAGCTTCTCAGCAGCTCTCCTTTTTTTTTTTTTTTTTTTTTTATCTCAACACCACTTTTTCTTTTCCTCTCATGCTGTACTTCCCCAGCTCATGCCTGCATTGCTACAGCTTCCCTGCTGCCTTATCTCCCACCTGGGCTTGGTTGATCAAGCTAGGACAGGGGTGGGCAAGATAGATGCGGCCCGCCAGACCATTCTATCCAGCCTGCGGGGCCCCTAAAAAAGTTAGAAAATTAATATTTAGCTGCCCTGGCTGCCTGTCATGCGGCCCTCGATGGCTTGCCAAAACTCAGTAAGTGGCCCTCCACCTGAAATAATTGCCTGCCCCTGAACTAGGAACTACATGGCAATAAAATGGGTTACTAGAATTGACCAAACCAAGTGACACCTCATCTGTGAAATCAAATATCCTGCTTCTAGCAGGTGCTGGGACCCAATGTGTCAAAGGAAAGCGGCAAAATGAAAAGTCCAAAAGATACCTATCTGACTGTGCAGTGTTGCATAGGGGAACAATTTCTACTTGATGCTCCTCTTAAGTAGCTTATTACACCTTGAACCGTGCAGTTTTATTACCCTCTGCATCATTGCATCTTAACTTGCAGAACTGCAAAAAAATATATCAGAGCCATAACATTAGCCATGTCTTTAGCAAATCCAGCTAAACTTTTGGTCTCTACCTCCTCCTATGGCAGTAATTTCTGTAGGCTAGCTATCCTCTGTGTACAGCAGAATTTCCTTTCATTGCTTCTAAGGACTCAGCCCCCTCAGTTTCATTGTGGCTCCTCGAACATGTACTGAAGGGCATGTCAAAAAGGAGAACCAATTTCATTTCACCATGCCATGCATTAATCTGAAGGTATTCCCTCAGGCCCTGAAGAGGTAGAATGAGCTGCTTGTCCATTTAAAACAGGTGCCCACCTAGTTTGTTTTTCTGAGACATCCTTGATCGCTGGAGAAGGAGCATCACTGTGTGAAATTGTGACTGATGTCTGACTTATAATGTGAACAGAACTGTGTTCCCCACCATTGCCTGGCCCTTAGCAACCATTCTGCATAGGATCTGAGTAGCTGGTAGCATAAGGGCCTGTTTGACTGAGGACAGGGCAAGGGTCTACACATCAACCTGGGTCATCTCCTC